ACACAAGGATCTTCGGAGAAGATAATAATGTTGTAGAGAAAAGGAGCTTCACAGCGAAATATACCAATCTGACTAATGTGGAAAGTTAAGCTGCAAAATCCAAACGACACCCAAAAAATTAGCAAGGCGACATCTAACACAAGCCTCATTCGCTTAAAATGCAATATACTGATACATGTCGAGTGTAAACATAAGTATCAAGCTAGCTTATGCATCCTACGAGAGTTCCAACAGCACCTTGTGATGCGACCATGAGACTCACCTTGCTGATAGGACGACTCGCAATACCGCTGACAGTCCTTTAGGTTCTCAAAGTTATTTGCGTTGCCGTGGCAGCCACTGTAGTAAAAAGCCTCACAGCGGCCGGTGGAACGATTATAGGTATAGCGTTGAAGAGACTCAGCACAAGAGCCAACTTCCGTCGGTAGACTACACACGTCTTCGCTCTGATCTACAACGTGATTTGCATCCATCATTTGAGGTTAGTCTTTGGATACATGATATATCAACACTGGTAAACGATTCACTCTTTAAGGCAATTGTACGTTTATGTATTTCCACAAACTCAGTACTTACATTACAAGTTTGTATTTAGTCAAAGAAAACAACCCAAAGCTGTCATTTATTGTCACTGAAAATGGGACGCCAATCTACTTGAAATTGAGACATACATGTTTATGATGTGTGCATGACAACACCTTTGGCAAATCACGTAAAGAAAAACATTTCTCGGTGTTAGGTCAATTTAAGTACAGAAATAAGCGCAATTTTGCGAAATAGGTCAACGATAGTCTGGACCTTCTGGCCAGTGATATTCTTCGCATTGGTCTTCACTGTGACCTTCGTGGCATTCCCACTCCCCATTGCTGTAGAACGCGCTGTTGCTGCAGCAAACGTCTGTGGATCAACATCCATTGTAAAGTCATTGCTTTTACTTTATAGAACTGAGAATGTTGGTAGCTTTCTTAGCTATCTTTTAAATATAGGAATACTTTTGCATTGATGTATGTGGAAAAGTGAATAAAAGATAATAAGCCACTTTTATTATAACAAGGAAAATAAACTTAAACATTGTCTGCGAGTAAGCCTGATCAAATAATAATAACTAGAATAAGCTTATGGCTATCGCGGTTAACTCTGTCTACTTACACGATGGACGACACTCAATTTGTGGGTTCCCATCGTAGCCCTGAGGGCAGAAGCATCGTCCTTTCGTGCAATAGGCGTTTGTGCCGCATCGTACATCTTGGCAGGGATCTAGGGGAAGATACACAGCCGTTTAAAAGAATAAACCCTTAAACAACAATTAGAGATAGCGTTGCAATATATTCCCCTCTACTGCAAATAAGCTTGTACAAAGGAGTGAGTTGATCCACATAACGGATAATACATTACCTGATGAAGGCTCACCTTGATGATAGGATGACTCGCAACGTTGCTGACACTCCTCCAACGTCTTGAAATTGTTGGTATTGCCCCCGCAACCGCCGTAGTAGAATGCCTCGCAACGACCAGTGGAGCGATTATAAGTATACCGCTGGATGGCTGCAGCACAGGGACCAACTTCCGTGGGTAGACTGCACACATTTTCACTCTGGTCTGTATTACAAACCACAGCCGTGGGTCACCTCATATAATTATGGTTACTGAATATAGAGTAGCAATTCTATTAGCATTTCTTTGGTGAATCCAAGCCAACGCTATCTGCTACAGCTTTCCAAGGTTTGGTCACTATAATAAACAAAGTATTTAAAGCGGATGTGGTCAGGCGATGCATTAAAGCAATGCCATTTAAGGCTGAACTAGACCGTCTCTGTCACTCCCTCGGATAACAGACCAAAACAAGAACATCCTCCGGCCGATATCAGAATACTTTTAAAAACCGCTAAAAACTGCCTTGGTTACATTTTATCCCGTTTTTTTCAGATTTCCACAATTCCTTGTCATTAGTAGCTTAATTACTGTAATAATAACAAAAATATTCCCACAACTTACATTAATTCCCCTTTGAGATATGACCAAAAGGCATCAGGGTTCGAGAGAGAACAGGATAAATTTAACAGTACCACAAACACCTGCCGAGTGACTACCACTGGAATTATGATTTGGACATTTCATTAATGAGCCCACTTAAAATTCGCGATTGTTCTACCACACTGTAGGACATGAGTACAATAGCTAAGAAGTGGGAAAAGATCATGATAAAAGGCAACTAGGACCAACCTCCTGCCCACAGACATTCACGGTGCGCATCTCCGCTGTAGCCTTTATCACATTCGCACCGACCGTTGCTGCAGTGTGAGTTGTAGCCACATCGAATATCTCGGCATGGATCATCTACAAAAGAAATTACCAAAGCTGCGTTATATATCTTCAGGCCATCATTTTTGTAAATCAAACTTGTTTTACTTTGTAGCAATACAAAAATCTCATCAGAACAGAGGAGACGCGAAAGGGAACTTGAATTTTATTGCACACGCCATCAAAAGTTTACATGGCGAATCTTATAACCTTCGGGAACTAACGAGTATGGGGTACACTCCTAAGGTTCTAAAATACTTTATACCAATCTGTATGTTTGTCCACCACAAAACAAAGGTAATACCACCTGTA